CAAGTTCAGAGATTTCTATAGGACATCTAGGGTGTGGTTCCAAATGCGTCATGACGCCTTCTTCAACATTTTGTGGAGGCATTCCTCGAAGCATTGTGTTCATAGACGATGACTCTATAAATTCTATTGGCACAATTTGTTCTATTACATGCATAGTCGGTTCTTTTAATTGACATCTCTCCCGTTCTCGACGTGCACGTTGTGCTAATTGACGTGTTGATAAAATATTGTAGTTGATTTCCTAAAGAATAAATTTGAAATTATATAGCGGATTAGGATATAAGAAATGTAGTACAAAAGTCTGCGGTTGAACAATAATGGAATACATCATAAATATTTTAAAAAAAAAAACATATTTAAGCATACATACCACTTGTGGATCTATATTCTCTTTTCCTTTTCCTTTTCCTTTTCCTTTTGTAGAGCTGGATGTTGCCACTGCATTTGACTTTTGTTTTTCCTTTTAAAAAATAAAATGTATAAATTAAGAATTATTACAGTAGAAAAGAGTTCATAATAATACTAAAATCAATTGACGTGTCACCTCTTCAGCTAAGCGAAGGCAGTTAAGATCACGTTCATCACGGATTACAACACTTACGTTTTTTTGACGAAGTAACTGGACCTAGAAATCAAAGAAGGATAATGCTAAATTGAGTGATAAGAAGTAAGAATTGAACACCTATAAGAATTAAGAAAATTAATGATAAGAAGAATAGCTTACTGTGCGTGCTAGGTCAGTATCCATCTGTAAAAATGGTTGAAAAAACTATAATAAGTATGAGATTACTTATAGGAGAGGATTAGAAAGAAAGTTATACATATATAACTTACATGACCAAAAATAGTGATGTTATAGGGTGATTCTGAATTTGTCGAGGTTCCTTCATCAAAATTGGACCCGTTGAGATTATTTGCAGGCATCCCTCGGAGCATTGTTGTCATAGACGCTGACACCGGGATATTTGTTGGCACTGTTTGTATTTCTATAAGTGAAGGAAGTTTCCCAGTCACAGGCGTTGATTGATTGCGAGGTCTCTTCACTGATGATTGTTGTATTTGAGCTTGATGGCGGCGACTCGGGGTTAAGGAAGGGAAAAATCTAAGTGGACTGGATGGATGTTCTGATCTTTCCCGTTCCCGACGTGCACGTTGCCCCAATTGATATTTGGTTAAAACATTATTATTGATTGCCTAAAAAGTAAATAAGAAACATATATTATTGTGAATAATAAGTAACTTTTTTAAAAATTAATTAAGTCTTGAATGGGCAAATGACCAATCATACCACTTGGTCATGTGTATTTTCTTTTCCGTCGACAGAATCATTTGCTTTTTCTTTTCCTTTATAGCTAGCATTCACCGTCGTGTTTGACTTTTTTTTTTTTATCTAAGCAAACAATTTGAATTAGTAATAAACATATATTTAACAATATGTGTGAATATTACAAACACATGAATGTTGGAGCTTTGTAAAAGGAAAAAAAATTAATGCAATCCAAAAGGGAAAAAAATAACGCAATCCAAGTTTTTGTGTAAAGAGACAGGCATTATTTATGAATTGGTGCAATGAATTATTGGAGCACAACCATTTATGATTTGTTGTTTCGTGCTATTCACTAAATATTGAATTTGTATGATTTGTGTTCATAGTAATATTTTTAGTTTTATATCATTCTTCGTGTTGTTCACTAAATATGAATTTAAACTTGTATATTTTAAATGTTAATCATATTTTATTTAATATATCTTGATATCTGAGCTGCCCAATAACTTGAATTTAATCATGTATATTTAATATGTTGAGCATATTTTATTTATTGTTTCGTGTTGTTCACTAAATAGGCATCGAATTTTTATGATTCGTGTTCATAGTATTGCTTATAATTTTGTATCATTTCTCTCGCTTGTAATCTTGTATCATTTTTCTCAGGGATGTAGATTTGGATTATTTAATAAATATTAATTTTTTGTGTTGTTCACTAATTATCAAATTTTTATGATGTTTAGAAATTTAATTAAAACTTGACAATGTTAATTGAGTTCTCTTAAATATTAAATTTTGTTCACCAGCAAGGTGAGTTAAGCAAACAAAACTCACCTTACACCTTGAACCAAATAAAATATTGAAAAAAATTTTATGAACAGTGCTAATTCTTAATATTAAACCATATCACCAATGTCAAAAAATTAAATCTTATATTAAAATTCAAAACAAAACGCACCTTGCACTTGAACAGAATAAACAACTTAGCAGCACCAAAGTATCCCAATGCGCAATGAATTTTTAGCGGCAAGAATTCAATTCGTCGAACTCTCGAACCCAAATTACAAAAACCTTGTCCACCAAAAACTAATACTGTTATAAAAAAAAGGAAACATTAGAATTTAATGTAAATATTGGAAAAAATCAGATAATATAATTTTGAATAGGGAAACATGCTTGCAATAAAAACAGAACACGATAAGCTAGAAAAGACTGTGAATCCAAATGATTAACAAATAATCGAGTTATATTAAAAATTAAGTATTGAATTTAAATTGTAATACAACAGTTAAAAAATGAATTTTGAAAAACACCAACAGAAAAATGAAAAATCCTCATATAATATCAACAGTTTATACTAAATTTGGCACATTCAAGCAGCAAAATAGAATCGCACTGAACAATCAATGTAGAACATTTGCATTGAAAAAAATAGTCCACTCGAAAAGAACTCGAAAATAAAAACCCAGAAAAATAGAACATCAAAATAAAAATTTAATGGGAGAAGTAAAGTTTCTGACTGGAGTTGAAATATTTGTCATCTTAGTTGGATGTTGCCAGAATAGAGAAAAGAGACTCTCAAAAGCAAATCAACTAAATACAATCAATATAATGGAGAAGAAAGTCTAAAAATCAGTAGTGTTCTTCTTGCAATTTTAGTGCCATACGATTTTTTTGGGAAAGTTTTACCAAAGTGAGGGACTGACCAAGCAATGCCTGACATGAAGTTTCAAAATAGATTCATCACTCAAAACAGTATACCATCACTTCAAACAATGTGCAGATTTTAAAAAATGAAATGCAAAAATCAAGTTCAACCAAGTATCACACGTAGTATTGTGAAACATCCACGACATGAACGGTACTCATCCAAAAAAATCCTATCAAACCCATCATTTCGAACTCTTCATGTGCGTAACTCTTTTGAGAATTTTTGTTCAACACTTGATATACGTTGTGGTAGCTGTGGTTCAAACCAAACCCAATTAGTCAAACACAATTAGCTGTGCGTGTGATTTGCATGCGCAGTGTGCATGCGTTATGTTGTGTTAGTTTGTGTGTTTGTGCAGAAAGTTGATGAGAGAGAGAGGACCTGAACTGTATTTTCGGTGATGTATCTCTCAGTGGTGGGTCGTCGACGGTGGTGAGTTAGTCGGATGTGTTCAGAGAGGGAGGGGGGAGAGAGAGACTAATAAAGGAGAGAGACAGAAAAGCAAGGGAAGAGAGAAATAGGGAGCATGAGCAAATTAAGCCGTGAGTGAGACTAATTGGGAGTAGAGAGAGGGGGGAAGAGTATTGCCGGAGTAAAATTTTGAGATATTAATTATGGAAATTAATATTCTGGCAAAGTAATTGCGGGCAAATATTCTAGCAGTAATTGTTGGGTTTGATTGTGTTGACCAGTTGGAAAAATTAAATTTAGGGATGCTAGTTTTAGAAACTAAAAGTTTTGAGCAGAAATTTTTTTTCAGGAGCTAATATGGTATGTCGGATCGAAACGATCTGAGACGTCAATAGTTTGAGACAGTTTGAAATAGCGTCGGCCGTTAGATGATGTCTTTTTTAATCTCGAAACGATCTAAGTCGTTCTTTGTCTCTTGAATTCAAAATCGTTCTACTTTATTATACAGATAGTTGATTCATGTGTGCTTTGCATGTGAATGGTTTTATACACTAAAACAAAGATGCAGTGAACCGTACTATGAATCTGATCATAGTTGTCAGGCACTTTTCTTAGTTGTTTGCAATCAAAACTTTAGAGGCATGTAAGAATCAATGGTTGCCTAAGGGCTGGCATGGCCTCATGTTGACTTTTGATTTCTTCACTATATCCACCTTTAAATTTGCCTCATTTTACCTTTTTGTACTGATAAACTCAAAACTGCATAGTCTAGATCATGCTTAATTTTATGGATTTTTCCACATCATTTATTCGTAGTGTGCCCATTAATATTGGACAGAGCCATGGGTGCCAAACCTGCCTTCCTTTCGAGTTCAACCCAATCCAAAAGCAGAGGACCTCCTATTATCAGTTGCAAAGCTTATTAATGAGGACAATGGTAGCTGGAACATCCATCTTCTAACCAAGTGTTTCTACAGTCAAACCATACAAGCCATAAAAGAGATACAACTCCCTCTACACCCAAGAGAAGATCAAATGGCCTGGATTCCCTCTTGCAATGGGCAATTCACAACAAAATCAGCTTACAGGACACTATGAGGTGAAAGAGATTTGCAAAGCCACTACCTTGATGATGCTGACTGGAAAATCTTTTGGGATACAAAGATTCATGAAAGGCACAAGTTAACCTCATGGAAGGCTATCACTGAAAGTCTCCCAGTCAAGAGTTTATTGGCTACAAGATTTCCCATTCAAGATATTACAAGTCCCTTATGCAAGCAACAAACAAAAACTGATATCCACCTTTTTCTTTCTTTGGACTATTGCTCGTAGCATCTAGTTCCAAAAATGGGACCTCCACGCAGACCAATTTCCTAATTTGACCTTCCAAGAGTGGTTCCACAATTTGATGCATCCAACTTTATTGTTTGGCCCACAATCCACACACTAGGTCCACCTAATCTTATTTGCAGCTATAACAGTGTCCTTTTTATGGTTCTGGAGGAACCAATCGCACTATTGAGGTTCATAGAGTCTTTCAAGATATTGAGCACCAATTTTAGGAGTTTCTAAACATTTTTGAGCAGCCAAAGGACAAAGAAGAAATCCTAGATGAAGCAAGCCCCTATCCACACATGGGCATCACCTGAAAATGGTGCATTTAAAATTAACGTGGACACTACTATGGGAACAGAACATTCCTTCTCAACAGCCTTGGCCAGGAAAATGGGTGGAACATTTGCAGAGGCAAGAGTTAGTATGGAATCACCAACCAACCCCTTTGTTGCAGAAGCCATTGCTAGCAATTTGGGCTGAGGAAGAGAGGTGGAATCATGTTACCATTGAGAATGATTCACAAACAGTTGTTCATGCTGTCATGCTGAACCATATTAAGGTTCCTTGGGCCATTTGGCCAATCGTTCATGATCACAAGCATTTGCTCAAAAAACATCCAGATTGGAGCATCGTACACACTTATCGTGATGCAAATGTGTTGGCATATGAACTTGCAAAGTAGGGCATGAAGACAAAGCACTCAGGTCATTTGCAGGGAGATTACCTCTCCCACATTCGGTAGTCAAAGCCATGCACCAGGATACAATGTCTTCCCACTAATATTCTAGGCCTAACTTATGTAGTTTGTTAGTTATTTAAATTCCTCTTCCATGTACTGCATTTTCACAAGCAAAAAAAAAAAGGTAGTATTTATCAAGATTGTACCATACTCATTTATTTAACGAGTTTAACAAGTCTACTTATTTATTATGTAAACCTGTTAATATTAAACTCAAATCTTCTATTTGTTCCCATTTTATGTCAAATAAGTCGATCATGTCTAAAATTGTTGGGCCTATCATTTTTTGGCAAGATATGGTTGGTTGTGTCATGTGTGTTCTCCTTTTATTGTTGTTGATGCAGGGCATTGGACCCTCCAAAAAGAAAACACATTGAAAATCTGTGTGAGAGTTAAACCGCAGAAGTCTTGCTAATGAAGGCCAAGTACTGCAAAAATTACAAGAAGAACGAGGATTCTAATTAACTATGATTCTTTGGGGAACAGAGATTTTAATGGATAAAGGTGGAATGAAATGGCTTGAGAAACTTCCCCCTAAATACTTAATTTCTAGATTTTTAAAATATTTAATCAATAATTTCAATCAAAAATTATTTCATTTGGCTTATTTAACTATTCCCTCAATCTTTTGTAGTTATTCTCACTATCTTTTTAAACTATTTCAAATTTAAATTTACTCATCTTTCATCACTTTTTCACATTTAATAAATACTAGTAATTACATATGTGCGTTGCACGTGAATTGTAAGTACGAAAAATTATAGATTGAAGTTGTGGACTACTCTCTTCAAAATCCAGGACCTAAGTAAACATTGTTGATCCAACAATCAACAATTAGCATTCATGTTTTATAAAAAAACTACTAAAAAGACACTAACTAAACTTATATATCATAGAATACTTGTTGTAATTATATTAGTCTCTATTTCATCCTTGTAACTCTTGTTTTTACAAATTTTTCTTCTATTCTTGTTGACAACATAAACAAAGAACTTCTATCATACTTGGAACAATATCTTCAAATAGTAGATTTGGGAACACTAATTTGCGTCTTTTAAGAAGCTGTAATTGTAAGAGGATGCGCCAATTAGAAGAATTTGCAGGACCATTTAGCTGCACCAAAATTGCCTTCTTTAGTGGTGCCTATGCTACAAGAAAGATTACCTTCCAAATAAAAATAAATAAATAAATGAGTGAGAAAGACTAGTAATGCACATTGGCTAGAGAGATTTATGATGCCGTATAAGAATTCATGCCTCACAAGTAACTATATTCATACATAATACCTTCCTAACCTTAGGAATGACCATTTTGGTCATCTCTAGCAAAAGGCTAGAGAACCTTTATTGATGATGACATATTGGAATATAAAGCTTATTCGACGTATGACTTGTGCCCCAAAATTGAATACATCTATAAGTAGCAACTTAATGACTTTTAGTTGAATATTGAATTCAATCTTCACAGAAATTTTTTTAATGTTTTATGTCCAACCCGCTAGCATTGAATAAAAACAATTAAAAAGCTGAAGCAAGAGACTAGACTATGGTCTTTTTACTAATTCCACCTTCTCAACTTGAAATACGCTATTAATATGTATGTCTCATGACTTATCCATGACTTTGCCCCTAATATCAAGAGATTTCTATAAGATTTATTTGGGACCAAACTTCCTCAAACATATGTAAAAGACAAACTCACTTAAAGTAAATGATTAAGTTAACAAAATAAAGTGAAAGAAAATAATAACAAAAATTATGTACTAGATACTCAAGAAACCCAAAGTGCCAAAATTTTGATATGCATCTCTCTGATGTCATATATCCTCATCGAAGTTATATCACTCTTTTTTCTATCGTTGTTTGTTCCAATTATCTTAACAGTTGAATTCTATTTGATTTTGCATAGTACTTCACAAAAAAACACCCAAAGATATGCTACAAAAATAGCTCTTACAATTGTAATCGTAGCAAGATTGGGAGACAAAAAATTAACTAAGAGTCATCTTAATAGGGGTGCAACTCGGGCGGGTTGGACGGGTTGGACAGTCAACCTTAGCCCAACCCTAACTATATAATCTTCAACCCTAACCCTATCTCGGCTTGAGAAACTCAACCCAAGCACTGCTCCGAGTTTAATTCAGGCAGGCTCGGGTTGAATTCGGGTTAATGATTTCGAACTGATTTTGGGTTACTTTACGGGTTCAATTCGGGTTGAGTTCGAGTAGAGTCTAAAAGAGACTTGTTGTTCTAAACTTAATACATATATTACATAATATTCACCTAAATTAACAGCTAATAACTTTAACCAAGTTTTTAACAATACTAATGCTAGAACAAAAATGAAAATGAATGAGAGAGACATAGAACGATAGAATAAAAATGAAAAATCAGTGCTAATTCTTTATATATATATATATGTATGTATATAATTTGTTTTCAATTTGGCGGGTTCGAGTTGAACCCATGAACCCGAGCCCAACCCAAATTAAATTCGGGTTGAAATTTTTTGACCAAGTCCAACCCAAGTATTAAAAACTCTTGCCCAAGCCCTAATTTTTTCGGGTTGAAATCGGGTTACCCAACCCAAGTTGTACCTCTACATCTTAGCATCTGATTCCAATTGCAGAATAGAGGACAAAATGTTTGTGTACATTATTATTTAAAAGGCTTTGTCAATCATTGAACCTAATAGAAAGATAAATGTACGTAAAATAACCTTTTAATCAATTAACCAGTTAGTTACATATGCTTCAAGACTTTAGTTTGACAGTTCAATGCATAATAGATCGATCAACTAACTCTAAAGAAATGACACCACCACACCACATTTATTCTTTATAGAATAGACTCTCATAGATGTCATTGCATATCGTCCCATTGCTCTTGGGAGTCCTGCTTTTCTTCCTCAATTTTTCTATCTTCTTAGTAGCCTTAATATCATATACAAATTACAATAAAACATGGATCCCATGTTAACCTTTTTATTTCTCTTCCCAGTTGTTTACCACTTGGTGAATCTATTGCACTATAAATTTTATTTTTGACAAATTTTTCGAAATGCCAAAAGACTTGACCAAACATACACATGTTGGGGACTAGAATAATAAGTTTATATTATTGAGATCAGAGATCAAATAAACTTCATAGTACGTGTAAATTATGTTGTTCGGCTAATAGCATTCATTAAAGAACATCATGAAAGTGATGAAGAATCATTGTTGTGCATTTCATAAGAGAACATGAAGAAAGTATTGGAGAATCAGTACTAAGAATGAACAAAAATTAGGAAAAAGATCAACCAACTAACCCCAAGCAATTGAATCAACACTAGACTCGATTTTGACGTCAACAAAATCTGGGCCTTCGTGGTCTATGGCTCCTACATTTTTACAAACTTTTTAATACCATTTGATCTCAATCTTGCAACTACTTCATTACCTGTAGTTCAAAAGGAAATAAAAGGCAAAAAATTACAATCTCAATTAGCTGTATTTTATGATATAAATATTTGTATCATCAAAATCATGTCTAATTCAACAACTTAAATGAAATTTGTAGACTTCAAAGTGGGGAAGATAATAGAAAGAAAAAAAAATGAAAGATTAGGGAAGGAAACATAAAAGTTATGAGGGGAAGTTAAACTTTTATGGAACGATTATATAAAAAAGAATTCAAAAGTTTTTCAAGATATTGATAACATTTAAAAGTAATATTGATATAGATAAAAATATAGAAATTGTACCTCAAGAACCACAGTCACAAATAATATAGCATTAATGTTTTATTTTAATTCTAAAAGAATAGTATGGGCATTAACCACATTATTTGGGTTAATATCGTCAAACAAAATTTTTTTACTTTTGTTGACATTTTGTAATAGTATAGATATAGATTATTTTAATTCATTAATGGGTAATTTTTTAAGAACGTGAGGGTTAAAAAAAGGTAAAACTGGGAAATGTAACTATTATGTATTATTGTTTTACCCTCATTTGTGAAGTTCATTATTAATACCATTTTTTTTATTACTAGAGAAGAATTTTGAAACCCTAATCTTACCTATTCTTAAGAAAGTATGCAATAATTTTCCACAATGTGTCATGCCACTTTTTGACCACCGCCTTTATTAAATGCAAGTTCATACATTTTCAAATTGTACTCTCATGATTTTTTTTTTTAACTAATGGTGAAAACTCAAAATAATTTTAAATGGATGAAGTTAACAATTAATTATATGTGCATAACAAGAGATGATCACATACAATCTGGAGCTATTTTGAGATGAGATTTGAATTATTCAACTTTTGAATATGAATTGTCTGACAACATAATTAGAATTAAATGTATGAACCTATTCAGGCAAGACACAAATTACTTGGATGTGACTTGTCTAGAAAATAAGGAATAAAATACGACTAAATTTGATTCGTTTCTCAAGTTGTACAAGTTTGAATAAACCGAGTTTGAGCTACTCAAATCAATTAATAATCTTATGATCGAATCTCCAGTGGAACACAAAGCGAGATAGCAATTCAGAAAAGTTGAATGGTAGCCTTCCACCAGCCTTCGTAGCCCAACAATTGGAGCAGGCTAAACGCGAGACAGAGAGAGAGATTTCCTTGGTGCTGCACCTGAATGACACAGCTCTTGGTGTTTAGTTGGAAAGTTTTTAAGATGTGTATCCCGTCGTCAAGGAGTAGAAATGTTTTTTTATTTGCCAGAATTTGAAACACTTTTATAAAATAATGTTTTATTTTGATTTAATTATTCCGTTTCTAAATACATTTTAGTTTTGAGTTGTAAGTGAGAAAAGATACATCGTGTTATTGACTTTAATATTTATTCTTTATCGGATAGATGAATAGTTTAGTATTTAAATGATTATTTTTAGTAGCTCCCATGATTGGATGTTTTGCATATAGTAATGTTTTTTAGAATGGA